CTGTCGCTCATTCTGGAGCACATGCCTAGATTCAGATCATGCTCTAGTGCGAGCGCGTATTTGCTTGAGTCTTACTGGACGTAGGAAAGACGCTGCAAGGAAACCTCTTAGGGGCCTACTTAATGATAGTCAAGCTAAGACTATATTTCAGGAACAACTAGGAAAAGTTAGGCAGTCATGTATGTGATGCCCACCCCGAGGTAGCATGGAATGATATCCGAAAAGCTGTGGAAACAGCAGTGATATCTGCTAGTAAGGTAAACCAGAAGGTTAGAGAGCAACACTGGATTTCAGCAGCATCTATCGCACTGATAGATGCTCGGAAACTCATTCCACCTGGCTCTGAACATAGTGAAGAGCGGAGTCAGCTCAAGCGCAAGCTGAAAAGAAGTCTACGCAATGATCGTGAACAGTGGTGGGTAGCGAAAGCAAGAGAGATGGAAAAGGCAGCGGCAATAGGTAATAGAAGACAATTGTTTAGACTCGTTAAGGAAACCAGTATTAGGAACCCAACCGTTAGCGAAACAATCTCAGAGAAAGATGGACATATTATTCATTCCCAATCCAGGAGATTGGATCGATGGGCAGAACACTTCAGGGATCAGTTCAACTGGCCTCCAGCAACACTTCGGTTTCCCACTATCCCCAGTCAACCTGAATGGCAAGTTAATGTAGGTCCTCCGTCCCTTTACGAAGTTGAAAAAACCATAGGAAATCTGAAGCGAGGGAGAGCAGCAGGCCCTGACAGGTTTACTCCTAAGATTTTTAAGGATGGTGGTCCAGTATTAGCAATGAGATTAACCGAGGTCTTAGGTAGAATTTGGGAACTGGACGTAATCCCATCTGACTGGTCTCAATCACTGATTGTGCCAGTCTATATGAAAGGACAAAAGTCCTCTTGTGACAACCATAGAGGAATCAGTTTGACTAATATAGTGTCTAAAATATTAGCCTCAATAATACTTCGACGCCTAATCAAAGCTCGTGAAGAGCAGATTAGAGAAAACCAGGCCGGTTTTCGACCTGGACGTGGTTGTATAGATCAGATATTCACACTACGTCAGGTTCTAGAACACAGACAGACGTTTAGACGCCCCACAATGGTAGTATTTCTCGACCTTAAGGCGGCATTCGACTCTGTTGATCGTGAGGTTTTATGGCAGTGTTTGTCACTGAAAGGAGTACCAAAGAAGTACATTAACCTTATCCAGGCTCTCTACTCGAACACAACTGGTAGAGTGAAAGCTTATGGCGAACTGTCATCAGAATTGATTACATCAAGTGGTGTTCGTCAGGGCTGTCCACTCTCCCCATCCTTGTTCAACTTTGTGGTCGACGTACTTTTAGAGATAACACTCTCCTCATCTAAATTTCCAGGGGTTGAACTTCTACCGGGAGGTTCACTTGTTGACTTAGAATATGCTGATGACATAGTTTTATTTGGTGAAGACGCTGACAAAATGCAGAGTCTTCTGACCACTCTAAGCAACAATGTTAGCATGGTCGGAATGCGATTCTCTCCCTCGAAATGCAAAATGTTGCTTCAAGATTGGGTTACATCGACACCCGAACTAGTGATAGGGAGTGAAGTAATTGAGCGTGTCGACCGCTTCACTTATCTTGGAAGTCTCATCAGCCCTTGTGGTCTGGTATGTGACGAAATCTCAGCACGGATACAGAAGGCTCGACTAGCTTTTGCCAACTTGCGTCATTTATGGCGTAGGCGAGATATCCGTCTATCAACCGAAGGACGGGTTTACTGCGCAGCAGTACGTCCCGTCCTACTTTATGGCAGTGAAACATGGCCGGTAAGAGTAGGAGATATTCGTAGGTTACTAGTATTCGATCATAGATGTCTTCGAAACATTGCTCGTATACCCTGGGACCATCGAGTAAGTAACGCAGTTGTTAGGAAACGAGTACTAGGTAAGGATGGCAAATCAATTGATGAAGTAGTGAAACTTCATCAGTTGAGATGGCTGGGACACGTGTTACGTATGCCCAACGACCGACTGCCTCGACGTGCGATGTTCAGTGGTATAGGAGTAGGTTGAAAGAAAGCTAGGGGTGGCCAGACCAAAACATGGCACAAGTCCATGAAGTCGCTGACAAGTGGTCTGAGTCATGTTGATAGGTGTAGACTACCTGGTTGGGGACCGCGAGATGATAGCAACCGATGGTTAGAGACCCTGAATGACATGGCTTAAAATCGTTTGCAATAGCGTAGGTGCATCCACTCTTTGTGTTCTCCCTAATTTTGATCTTCTGACTTCTTCATGTCCCTTTTTTCCTCTTTCCAAATTTATTTCACTGAATTATACTCTTTAAATAACATCTCCAAACCCTAATCTTTTCGATCACTGCTTACACTCTTGCTACCTCTACCACTACGGGATTTGGATCGACAACTGCATCTCTGTGTTAAGGTGGTGTGGCAACTCGAACTGATGTACGTACGTACGAAGTTCTACGTTGTTACTGACTGACTGAAATGACAGTCCTGTTTGGTAAAAACGCTGATCAAATGCAGTCTTTGATAGCACTGAGCAACTCTATACCAGAATGTTTGGAATGCGTTCCTCCCCCTCTAAATACAAGTTGTTGCTTCAGGACTGACCTCTGTCAACACCTGAACTAAGGATAGGGAGTGAAGTTGTCGTTTGGCTTTCGCCAACTTACGTCACCTATGGTGAAGGCGAGATATCCGTCTATCAATTAAGGGACCAGTATACTTCGCGGCAGTTTGTTCCGTTCTACTTTAGGGCTGCGAAATGTGGCAATTAAGAGTAGAAGATCATCGTAAGCTACTAGTATTTGACCACAGATACCTTAGAAAAACTGCTCGTATATGCTAGGACCATTGGATAAGTAATAGTGAGGTTAGACACGGGATATCAGGGAATAGTGGTAAATCAGTTGATGAGGTTGTGAATCTTTATAGACTGAGATGGTTGGGCCACGTGTTACGTATGCCTGAACACCGTTTACCACGGCGCGTAATGCTGACTAGTGTTGGAGACGGCTGGAAGAAAGTCAGGGGTGGCCAAACCGGAACTCGACACCAGTCCTTGAAGTCATTAATTTCTGATCTAAGCCATGTTTGTAGATGCAGACTACTTGGTTGGGGGTCTACGTGACAATTGTAACCAATGGTTGGGGACTGGGTGACAGCTCAGAATCTATCATAATGGCGTCAGTGTATACACTCTTTGTTTCCCTTGTAACCTTGAAATTAAAACAACTTTATACCTTAATTTCTTCCTGTACAACATCCTTATGTGCAATCACTTATATATTACTACCATTAAATTAACTACTATGAATCTGTTCATCTTATTGTGTTAATGAGGTATGACAACTTGCATATATGTGCCCGGCTCTACGTTGTAACTGACTGACTGACTGCCCACAAATGCCCTGGTACGGCCGAGAAAGGGGAGAGTCAACTCTCCCTCTCGAAATGCTTTTAGACCTTTGAGTCAAAGGCTCAGGATATGGCCCCTAAGAAAGCCACCTGCCTGGGTTTGTGCGCTCGGGCAGTATCATAGCCCTCACACAAACCGAATGGTTTATGTGGCGCATACCGATTAGGTGCCTTCTTGTACCGATGCTTATGTGTTTAAATAAATGATAAGATTGAATGGATAATGAGCGACGTATAAGCTAATTTTCTTTAGTTGCTTATGATATTTGATCATGTCTATTTTAAATTCATATTTTGTAAATAAGTACATCATTTTATGACACGATTTTACCCATCTGACTAGTCTTGTCTTTGATTTAGAATTGTTCTGTGGCTTAGGTCAATAATACGCCCTCATGAGTACCTATCAATCAGCCACACCAAATCATTGTGTTTACTTATCGATAATCATCCTAATCATTGATTTTAACGATTAAAAATCTCGTCCAACCAAACTATCGGAAATCTCTAGAACAGTTGGATACCGTGATAAGTGTGAAAGTAGGAGACAGGAATACGAAATATAAGGAAGTGAAGTAGCTTTGTTGTGATTAGGATTATCTTGAGTCTTAATAGATGCATTAAGGTTGTCTTCCCTTCTCAGTTTCCTACACTGTGGAAGGATACTTTCTATTGCACCTGAAAGTAAACTGAGTCCGGGACAGTTCTAACACCCAAACACTAGGGTGAATTAGTAGCTATTGATTCTAAAACCGAACGTAAACGTCATGAAATGTATGGATGAAGATCTATATCCCCCAACTTCATTTAATTAGAAAGGGATATTGACACCACTTGCACTACTGAGCTGTGTTAAGGTTGAGATCGATTGTTTAGACATATATTTATGCTCAACCACAGAAATAAGATCCATATTGAACGAAAACTTTAGTGGTTCATTTACTAGTATAAGTGACAAAATCACATAACTAACTTGATCAGACAAGCTTTTGGAATATTTACACTGATTTATAAAATAAAAACAACTAGATTGACATATCAGCGTTTCAACTTTGAAGCCGGCAAGACTATTATCTACATTGATCGTGAGGCGCTTTCAGTTCTTCTAATTGAAGTAAAAAGCAGACCTGATGTACACACTTTTCCTTTAGTCACTACACATATTGTCATAAATAATACATTTATATAAGGGGTAAAAATAAGTGAGAAATCAGTATCATTTGTCAAACTGAGACTCTATGTCTGGCTGTAAGGTACATTTCGACCTTAAATCTCCACATTTTAGGCATTACTAATACTTCTATAGTGATTTTTACCTTCTTAAGGCTCCAATGACAACTACAAGCTATAGGTTTCCTGTGGAAACTATCTTGACACCCGAGCTCCCAATTTCGGGGAAAATTTGACACATTTTGGGGAAGCCACTATAGTAAACTTTGGGGGAATGGCACCAAAACCCCAAAATTTGACTTTGGAGGTTTCCACAAAATTTCCCCAAACTTGGGTGATCGTGACACCGCTTCCCAGAGTTTATTTTACCGCTGGAAAAGGAAAAACAGATGAAACGTCGACTTACCGGCCTCCAACCAAGAGGAACAAATCCTGGGCCAACAAATACAGCACAAAGGTAAGACTTCAGAGTCATATAAAAGAAACTAAATATGCACGTAGAAAGAAACAGACCAAAAAGTGATGAACAGGGAGGGGCGACATGTAAGGTACTGTATAAACTCGTGAGCGTAATAAAAAATATGATCCAGATTGTAGAGATTGGACCCCAGTGAAATAAACGCTTCAGTTTGTCACGAAAGACAGGGCAGGTCGATTCATTCATCACGCAAAGGTATCCTTAGTTGAAAATTGCGCCAGATCTATGTCTAGATTGCGATTGGTTCATTTTTCAGATGTTTCAAATGGTTGTGGATAGAATAGAAGCTTTCCCTTAGCAAGCTTCCGTATCTAATAGCAGTGAAACACTGATCCCTTCAGATGGTTCGAATGGTTGTGGACGGAATAGAAGCTTTCGCTTAACAGGCTTCCGTGTCTAGTAGCAGAGGATCACCAAAACCTCTATGCAGGAACCTAGGTATGTTAACAATAAAAGAGGAAAGAAATTAGTAAACCATAGTGTGATATTATCCTTAGTCCTTAAGAATAGATCAAGTTTCCTCTTAAAGGACTCCTGGGAAGTCGCTTGAACTAGCTCGGCCGGCAGCGAATTCCAGCATTCGACAACTCTTAAGAAGTAGAAGTTGTGTCTACATTCCGTTCTGCTATTTTGTGTTTCTAGTTTTTGGGTGCTACCTCTTAGGTTAGTGTTGGAACTAAGCTTAAGTAGGTGTTTGAGAGGATGTACAGAAGTGTTAAGGATACTGTAACTCATTAGAAGGTCACTTCGAAGACGTCTATACCCTAAGGGATAAAGGTTAAGTGAATGGAGGCGCTCTTCGTAAGGTTTAAATTTGAGTCCCCGAACTGATTTCGTGGCTCGCCGTTGGATACGCCTCAGGGTGTTCTTATCCTTTTGGGGTGAGGGGGGAATACTATGTTTCTGTACTCTAAATGAGGACGGATAAAACTATTGAAGATGATATGGAAAGTTCTGTCAAACTGGCCAAAAATGCGCTTCAATGTTACCAGTGCAAGGTTTGCTCGAAAGGCATTTTTATCACGGTTAGCATAAGACTTTAAATCGTAGGGCACCAGGACTCCTTAATCTTTTTCGACTTGAGATATTACTAGAGAGGAGTTTCCTAAGTTATAACTGTAGTCTGCGACATGTCGCAGATGAACTACTTCACACTTTGAAGTGTTAAAGGTAAGTCCGTTATCGTCTGCCCAACTTTGAAGCCGGGTCAGATCCTCCTGAAGTGTCTGTATGTCGTCTTGGTTGCGTATCTCTCTCCAACGTTTCACGTCGTCTGCAAAAAGTAATAAGTCTGACGTTACCTGTTGAGGAAGATCATTTATATAGATCAAGAAACGAAGAGGTCCTAGTACTGCGCCCTGGAGGACCCCACTAGAACATTCCATAGTCTGAAATAAAGTGAAATTAACCCTGACCTTTAAATGCCGATTTTTGAGGTATGAAGTGAGTCAATCGATTAAAGGTGGTTTGATACCCAATCGTTTGAGCTTATTGATAAGACATTTATGGTTAACCTTATCAAAAGCTTTTGAGAAATCTAGGTAGATGATATCAACCTTCCCCTTGTGATTAAGGATGCTTGTCCACCGCAGTCAGCAGGCTGGTAATACAAGAGTAACCCTTCCTGAAACCATGCTGTTGGGGTGAGAAGAAATTTAAGGACAGTAAATAGTCATTTATACCATCGCATATCAGGGACTCCATAATTTTTGAAGGCATAGAGAAAAGAGCCTCCGGTCGGTAACTTGAAGGTTTGCTGCGTCAACCTCCTTTAAAAATTGGTTTGATGTGAGCCAGCCTCCAATTTTTCGGTAGTTTTCCTTGGCTTAGCGAGTGTGAGAACATCACGCTAAGCGGCGTTGCCAGGATTGAAGCTGCTTCCCTGAGTATGGCGGAATGGACCATGTCCGGGCCAGGAGATGTGTTGAGTCTTAAGTGCTGCAATTTCCGGAACACCAAGTCAGCGCTTAGGTTCATTTCGTAAAGTCCTATGGAATTGTAAACGAAACTGTCATCAGTAAAGTTAATGTCGATCGGTTGAAATGTTCGGGAGTACTGTGCCGCCAGAAGTTTAGCGGCGTCACCATCGTTGTTGGTCGGGCCGTTAAGACCTACCAGTTGCGAAACTCCTATTTTGGCTTGACGAATAGAGGCTGCATAACGGAATAAGCTTTTAAGATTAGGGGCGAATTTGTCCATAAGCTTTGTCTGATAATGAAGCCTGTCTTCTCTTATAGCCTCCGTGCATATGTTCCTTATATGTTTATATTGCCTGTACGCTCCGTCGTTGTCAGTTCGTTTGTATTCCGCCCAACAGTGCCTTTTACGGCTTAGCAGGTGAAGGGTACGGTTCTTGATTATTGTAGGTGGCTTACAGCTTTTGGGAACCGTTTGAGGAACTTAATGGTTTGTAGCACATAAGAGCGTGTGCAGTAAGAAGTTCCAATGACCATCCACATCGAGTTGGGGGTGAACATTCCAAACCACCTGTTGTAGATAGTCATGTAGAGCTGGCACATTCAGCCGTTTAAAATTCCAACGCAAATTATAGTTGGGATACCTTAGCTTAGTTTTGGTGACAAAACTGAAGGCTATGACGGCATGATCGCTCTTTCCCAGAGGAGCCAGGATTGAGGGGTTGTCAACTAGGAATTCTTCGTTTGTGAATACACAGTCTAACCGCGATGGTGTCTGACTGTTTCTCCAAAGAGTTGCCGACCTCACATTTTCATATAAGCCCAAGTCATCGATGAGGTTGAAGAACCGAGCTTCAATTGAGTTGTCGCCTCTAGTATACGTGTGTTCCGCGGAGTTGACTCTAGGGAGATTAAAGTCCCCCAGAATCAGGATGTGTGTGAAACCAAGACGAGTAGAACGGGATAGTCCTTCCAGCATACGACTATCGTACTCGATGTCGGCAGTTGGCTTTCTGTAAATGACTCCGACTAGACACTTTGAAGTACTGGACAATCTTACAGAGCACCATATGGATTCCTCAAGATTGTTAAACTCGAGGTTATGAACTTGATGCACCTCCAAGCAAGAATGTATGTAAACAGCTACTCCGCCCCCAAATCCTGATTTCCTTTTATTGCGGAACAAAGACATCCCAGGTAATGCTAACTCATGGTCCGAGAGATGAAAAGATGTCCAAGATTCAGATATTCTTATCAGATGGGCCATATTAGCGTTGCTAAGTTCACGTAGTTCATCCAATTTGTTTGGTAGACTCGCCGCGTTCATATATAAGCAGTTTATGCTTTCAATTTGGAACGCGTGAGCTTCGTCCTGTTTGTCTGTATGAGCCTTATGTGAATGGACAGGTATCCCAATTATATGACGTTTGTCGAGGTGGGAGACCCTGTTCTTTACACGTTTTTTTTATCGTCTAGACAGTCCACAAGTGGAATGGTCAGCTCCAACTTGCCTTTGTGTTTGGTCCTAGCTTCATATGGCCTGTCCGGATGCATGTGGATTTCACGTGGCAGTCGACGTCTGTTGGCACGAAATGCTTCCAGGGTTGCAGCCGCCATATGGGAAGATGGGAAGGTTATCTTCATTAGACAGGGTCTAGGATCACCATCCTTCTTGGCTAGTTTCGTCACATGCTGATTCATTATGTGTTTGAGCCTAAAGGACTGTTTGATGAATTTCCATTCCCTGATGTCAGTTTTTATTGAGCAGGGTCCGTATTTTTCGGTATACCTTGCACGATTATATTCCTCCCGCGGAAAAACTGATCGCGAGTTTCTTTGGGGATGTTCCGGATGAGATTGCGCTGAGAATACGGTATGTCAGGCAGTATTCTTATATTCCCATCTGATTTCAGTAAGTGACTCGCTAGTAAGACATCCTCTACATCGGTAGCATTCTTAAGTGTTACTCGGAGAAGCCTCGGGTGATTTTGAGGCTTAGATTCCATTCCCCAGGTGAGCCGTGTGACTGTCAAGGACTCTATTCTTGGAAGTTCAAGTTTCTTGTTCAATTCTCCCCAGAGCCTCTTATCATCTTTGTCCTGCAAACTGAGAGGAAGGTCAGGGTTGTCTTTGAAGTTCATGACTATGAGAGAGTCAGCACTAACCGTTATTGTCGTCCCAGCTTTTTCGGTGCGTTCAGGTTTAGCACCTTGTTGTTTGGGGGTCGAATCACGTTCATGAATCCTTGGCTCTTTGATGACCAGACGGACAATCTTGGGGGTAGACTGTGCGACCAGATCACCAGATGACTTCCGTTCAACAGCTGGGATGTTCAACTTAGACTGTGACGCCTTGCCCTGTTTAGCTTTTTTGACATGGGTCCAATCACCTACAGAGTTTTTGGAAACCACTGTCGCGTTCAAGGACCTTGAGCTGTGAGATCCGAGTTTGCTAAGGGAGTCAAGTACCGTCGTCGTAATCATGGTGCTGAGTTTCAGCATGTCATCATCAATGCTTTTGCATGCTCCGTCGTTGATAGACCTGTCGACATCCCTATTCTCGTTTACAATGCGCTCTCTTGTTTTCCTACCCATTTTTTGACTGCTTTTTCCCAAGTTTGCCGACAACTTGCTCTTCAGACCTGTCAGTAGGACAATGATATTACTCAGCAAGACTACAGCATCCATGCTGCACGTAACACATTTCCCCTTATGATCCGACTTACTGAGTCTGTTATAAGCAGTTGCTGTGAGATCTGTGCACGCTTCGTGGAACCAACCTGTGCAGTTGTCGCACTGCATTCCAGATGTAACAGCATGAATTTTTCATGACTGTATTGACGTAAACTGTGTTGTGGATGCTAGCAAAAGCCTAAGACCGTAAAAAAATACACTAAAAGGCACACTGAAAACGGACAAAAATGCATAAAACGGATGAGACAAACTGAACTAGTCTTAACGTGAAAAACCGGAAAAAGCCGAATAGTAAGCTGAGGCAAAACCACAGTTAACTATTAGATGAAGTGAAACTCAAAAAAATAATCTACCAAACGTATAGGTCAGGATAGATTCTTTTAGTCAGAAATGGTACTTTTGTTGCGTAAGAACACAGCAAAAGTTTGATAAATGCAAATCACGTTAGGACTAAACTTCCCGTTCGAAAAGCCCTTCATGTAGGAATCCTGGTATATTTGATGATTGACGCAGAAATATTATTAAATCACAGTGAAATAAAGTTGTAGCAGTAAATAAACCCCAAAAATCATTAGCTCTGTAAGTCTTCGACGTTTGATGCTAACCGCAATAAGTCTT